GCAATTCAGAACAGGAAAAGTCACACAAATCCACAGAGGAGATAGTTGAAGACCTGCTGGAAGAAAATTTCCCTAACATCCTGAGAGGGAAAAGATACGCATTTGAGAAGTTCAACAAACCCGAGGAAGGATAGACCCTAAAAGAAAATAACCAAGACATGTAATAATCAAGCTCTCCAAAATGAAAGATAAGGGCAGAATCCTAAAGCAGCTAGGGAAAAGAGAAGTGTAACACACAAAAGCAAGCAAATCAGATTAAGCTCAGATCTCGCAACAGAAACCATGCAGGCAAGAAAGAAATGGGGAGACATGTTCAAAACCCTGAAAGAAAAAAACTGCCACCCAAGAATCCTTTACCCAGCAAAGATGTCAATCAAATACGATGGTGTAATCAAAACATTCCAGGATAAACAGAAGCTAAGGGATTTTTCTAAAGCCAACCCTGTTATGAAAAACATACTAAAGGAAGTTCTGTGGACTGAGAACCAACAAGAACAGGCAACAACCAAGAGAATGACGTACGTGGCAGCATCATCCTGAACTCAATCGTCAAATAGAAGTGTCAAGAACAGAATAAAATTATAAGAAAAGAGGATCTGGAAGGTCAGTCTACGATCAAAACAATTACAATGTGAAAAAAGGTAAACACAGAGGAACAAGAGATCCAGGTGGTGAGAATATCAGGTAGATTATAGGATAAAATAGATTGTCTTAAATGGAAGAAAGACAATGAAATATAAGGTAACCACAACAGTGGGGCTGAGGTGGAGGGTTTAGTTCAGGTGTTGGGGAGGGCAATACAAGAAGGGGAGGAGGTAGAAGAACAAGATAAAGTGAACACTGAGACCGGTTTGCATGTCCTAAGTGGGACAGAGGTAAATAGTGATGCATGCTCAACCCTGGAACAACAGGGCTCTGTGATCCAGGGATCTAGGCATAGTTTGAAGAGTGGAAATCGTACTAAAATGCTTGACTGTCTTATGAATATTGGTTTCCCTTGCCTACTATTGTAAAATAGACATTTGAGTGATATAGAAAGGGATGTTGGAAAACACGATTACAGAAAACTTGTAAGCCCATTTTCAGCCTATAACTGATTGGAATACCTGAAAGGGGTTCTACAACTTGCCCAGTGAAATAGGCCTCTTGTAAAGCCTTTTCAGAGTATTGGACCTTAGGTGGAATCCTGAGTCCCATCCAGAACCTTATGAAGTAGGACATTCCCACTAGCAAGGACAAGCAGACCAACCTGGAACAGCTAGAGCCAACAGAAGATACATCTTCATAGAAAGATCATCAAGAAAAACCCAAAACAAAAATGTCAGCATGACTGGCTACTACAAGAATAAGTAAGCTGTTCACCAGGAAGCCATCATGGCTAACAATCAAGTTCCTTCAGGACAAACTCCCCTCTAAGACTGAAACTCAAAGGGAACACATGAACAGGCATGTAAGCTTGCTGGCTACCACACTGGTATACTGGTGAGTAGAAGAGGGGGAAAGGCAGCAATAAAGAAATGGGCTGAGTTCAATCACAGTCCATTGACTCCCATTGACCTGGAGATGAGACAGCGAACAGGAAGGGCTGGTTGGTCCAAAGTATGGTGAGACCTGGGGACACTTGAGCCCATGAACAAGGACATAGCCACAAAGGCCTAGAGCTGAGTGTGAAGCATCCAGCTGATATGAAGTGAGGGGTGATGCACAAGAACACTCAAACTTGCAGACAGTACCCATTTGACCTAGCCTCAATAGCTTGATAATCAGATCGACTAGAGGAAGATTACAAAAATTAAAAAAAAAATTTTTTTTGATAAAGGAAACAAGGGTAAATTGCTACCATTGGATGAACCTGACCTATACTCAGACTCTAAATACCAACAGAGAGGAAAGGAGTCTTCACATCAAGTACCTGTACACAGGGTAGATAGGGACGGGCAACTTAGACACTGGCTACCTAAAATGAGAGGGCAATCAAGGCACAAAGTGACTGGCTTACAAGGTTTCAAGAGGGAGTTTAGTTTAAGAGTGTATGGGGGAAGAAAGAGTCCCCACTGAATAGTTTTCATCTTGTCTAGATGGGTCTGGTGAACAGAGATGGGGATAAGATTCGTATGATTCAATAGTGAATAACTGTTATCATAACTAATTGTGACTGTCACAATTGTAAAGGTAGAAGTTTTGTAACAAAAACAGGGGAGTGGTTAATCTTACAGTCCAGAAACAGAGGACCCTAGGATCATCAAGGGAGAAGAGCACAAGCAGAATATTGGACCCTATCCAGGGAAGCAGCGACACCAGAGACGGAAGCAGAGATGGGGTCACGCAGAGGGGGAGCAGCTGAGGACTGTAGATTCATGGAAAGAGAAGGACTAAGAGCTGGTGGCCAGGAGGCAGAGTTGCAGAATGTGCCCTTTAGAGGTGTAAATTATTATATATGTCTGAGTGTTTGGGGGGTTTTGTTGTTGTTGTTGTTTAAAAAAAAAAAAAAAAAGCTAAAGTGAATAGAGAGAAATACTATTAACTGATGGTACATGGATGGGATTATAATCATTGCAATGAAACAAGGTGTATGATTTGTTGAACATAAAACTGATGATCTGCCCTGTAAACTTTTACTCAATCCACAACAAAAACCTTACAAAAAAAAAAAAGATGCATAATTAAACTTATCCTGGAAAAGAAATATTCTTAAACTCCCATAAAAGCAAAACACAACACATACTCATTGCCACTGCATCAATTCTAACTCATGGGAGGGTGTATGGTAGAACTGCTCCAGAGAGTTTTCAAGACTATGATTCTGGAAGCAGACAGAACTTTTTTCTGAAATGCCTCTGGGTAGGTTCAAACTGACAACCTTTTAAGTTAACAGATGAATGCAAACCACTTCTACCACCCACAGATCCTTTTACATTCCCAAAAAAGCATGACAGTCATTTCAGACATACAGCCATGTTCAATATGTGATAAATGAGGAACAAAGAAGGGGACTGGAAACAAAAGAAAACATCTCTCTCTGTAATCTAATTAAGGACCTCAAAGTCAGCAGTTCTAAACTACCAGCCATTCCACAGGAGAAAGATGCGGTTTTCTGCTCCTGTAAAGATTTCCAGTCCAAAAACCCTATACAGGGTTGCTATGAGTCAGAACCAACTCCATGGCACATAACTGCCACCACCACCATTAGCTAATTTGTGATGTTGCTCTTTTGGCAGGTGTGCATGTGGTTGAATTAGTGTGTGATTCATGAAGCTCTGAAGGGCTCCCTTGACTCTGCAGATCAGTCAATATATACCCACACACCACTAACAAAATCCCTGGCCACCAAGTTTCAAGGCCTTAGAACAATCCAATAAAAATATGCTTATTTTTGAACCCTCTTACTAAAATCTGTTTCCTTATGTAAGAAGTATTCAAGGGCCATCTTATGATACCTCAAGGTTATTCCAAAAACATCAGATTTGCTAATACAAGAGGCCTTCCATGAATGCAAATGAAAGAAGGAAAAATACTCATGTTAGCATTAGCTAATGAAAACCTGAGTATTTTTAGCAAATTTAGGCAACTATCCAGATAGTCTCTTTTGTTTCTTATTATTTATTTTCTACTGGAGTATTTCAGAGTAAATGCCAACTATCACATCCTATCTTTTCAACTGTAAATACTTCACTACATTTCTAACAGACAAGGAGTTTATTAACAAAAGCACCATTGATATTATCACAGCTAACACAATTAACTGTTAGTGTTGTGAAGTACCATTGAGTCAGTTCTGACTCATAGTAACCCTGTATAAGGTTTCCAAGGAGTGGCTGGAGAATTTGAATCACTGACTTGGTGGTTCATACTGATTTTACTAAAAACACCTTAATATTTTCTAAAGCCCATTCTGCATTCAAATTCCCACGTCAGGATCCAAACAAGTTTATACAGTGCTCTGGTTGTTATTTTTCTTTTCTTTTTTCTTCTATAATAAAATTATAATAGTTGAGTTCTGAGAATTCTCCTAAAAACCCCAAAGACTAGTGGGAGGTTAGCAAATCAGAAGTGGGACATCTCTGGGCACTCCTGAGCTTATGGTTGACATCATGAGGGGAGAGTGGGAATACCCAAATTTGTAGCCAACAGGTCAAAAGCAAGGGTATAGTGGGGACCTGCCAAGCCTGGCATCTAAAGCCTTGGGCCCACTTAGCAATCTGGAGGGTTTTTCCCTTTAACTTATTTGTTTATTTTATATATTTTTTAATTAATTAACTTTATTTATTTATTTAACCTTCCCCTTCATTCAAGTTGATATATATCTACCTTTTATTTAGTGATTCACACTCTCCCTTTCTTCCTACCCCTCATACCATCAAATAATGCTTCTTTATCATCTAAGAGCTGGGATAAGCTAATTGGAGAAGGAATAATTCAAACAAGTGTCCTTCATGTCCAATGGATGGAAAAATCTGATTCCAGGTGTCCAGGGTTGATTTTTCTTTCAAATTTAAAATATCCTCAACGCACCTTCTGCTAGTAAATTAATTTTACATTCAGTATACATAGTGTTCAAAAAAAGTTTCAGAAAAATCTAATGTTGTTGTTGTTAAGTGCCTTCAAGTTAATTCTGCTTCATAGCGATCCGATATAGAGTTTCCAAGAAGCAGCTGGTGGGTTTGAACTGCCAACCTTGTGGTTCACAGTCCAATGCTGATCCTACAGTGCCACACCAGGAGTCTTACAAGGGGACTTCAAAATGTTCAAGAAAAAAATTCAATGAAAAGATATTGGGATTTTTTCCATGAACTTTTGAAGTACCCCAATACTCAAACTATACACAGAGCTCAAGCCAATATTCCATTAAAAACTTTCTCATTTGCTTTTGCTATCTGAACTAACACGTTAATTGGTTTGTTCAATTACTTACATCCATTGTGTGTATCATATTCATAATGGCTTATGCATACTTATTTGGTACCCAATTAATCAGATACCAAATAAAAATGGCACTCAATTCTCATGAATTATGTATTGTAAACCTGGCACTCATTACGTAGACATACTTATAATGGGGCCAACAACCTTGATAAAGGAATATGCTCAGTTACTAACCACAGAACTGGACAGCTACTTTTCCACTTCAAAAAATAAAAATCCATTTCTTTATCTGGGTTTTGGTTACACAAACATGTTAACTTTATGGAAACTATATGTACTTTTCTAAATATATGCTATGTTTCCATAAAATTTAACTGAAAAATAAAGACTCAAAGTGTTAGCATCTGGATCAATTATGTTCATTTTATCAACATGTATAACTTGGTAAAAAACAAAGAAATATAGAACCAAGCCATAGCCCACTCTCCCAGGACCAGAGAGCTGACTAAAACTCCTGCTAAGCAGACATGCAGAAGAGCAGAATTTCTCTTGTGCTAGCTCTGTCATGCCACCAGGAAGATCCCACCTGGGATACAGTGTTCATGTTGTTTCTAGATTCCTTATCAACAATTAATTCCACCCTTGTCCACTTCACCATCAGAATGGTAGCTAAAGCTAACTTTAGGCTCAAGCAGGCCTTCCTTAACCCCTCCCACACACCCATTGGGTCAGATATGGAGCTTCTGTGTCGTATAACTTAGAGTATATGCATATCCATTTTATACTCAGATGTAGAAGTGTGCATTTGGGGACCTGCCAGTAGATGATGACGCAGAATCCTGACTGCCCACTAGTACTCTTCATCCATCTACACATCAATAAAACCATCCACTGAGGAAAGTAAAGGTAAAAAGGACAGAACTATCATCAGGTATAAAATGTCACGCTGCTATAGGTGTTATTTACACACTCATAACACATCTTTCATCTTCTTCAGTCCCTTTGCCATATGATATTTTGTTAAAAGTTTATAAATGGGAGTAAAACCACAGTAAAATCCTGTTCTTAAGGAACTCTAGGCCTAGCGTGGATGTGTCTCCCTTCTAGAAGGAAGGGACATGGTCAACCACCTCAGAAGCACCATGATACTACCATCCAGGGCGAGCTGCCCCAGAAAGAGGTAGAAGGGCCTGGGAGGGAGGGGGGGAGGAAGGAAGAGAGAAGGGAGAGAATAAAACCACCTACTTTTCCACTGCAACAGCAGCTTCTTCAAAAAGCTCCTCTTGGCAGTACATTTTGAGTGCTAGGTCGAACTCCTGAATCTGTTCAAAACATCTGAAAGCATCTTTGTAGCACTGGCTTCGCTTATAGAAATAGGCTGCATCTTTTATCTAAGGCAGAGTACAATTTTTTTGTTAGAGCATTTATAAATTAACGTTTTATCTTAAAAAAACCAACACTAGAATTAATAAAGATGTTACTTATTAGAAGCCAGTGAAAAAACACTAAAATATAGGTAACATTTTAAAACAAAAAAACAATTCTCTATATGGAGAAAAATCAAGTTAAATTCCATCTCACACCATACACAAAGGTAAGCAAGGAACAGATTAAACATCTAAATGTAGACTATTATTTTAACCTTGAAGTAAGGGAAGTCTTCAACAATACTGAAAATATATAAACTTTAGAGGAGAAATTTTAATATCAAAAATTTTAACAAGAATACACAAACTAAAGTTAACAGAGAATCAGCAAACATTAACACCTAGACCCAGCATTATTCAACAGAACTTTCTGCAAAGATAAAAATGTTTTCTATGTGCACTAGTCACATGTGAGGAGTCCTGATGTGGCGCTGTAGGATTAGTACTGGACTGCAAGGTCAGTTTTAACCACAATGTCAGTGATTCAAACAGCCATTCCTCAGAAACCCTATGCAGGGCTGCTATGAGTTGGAACCAACTCAATGGCACTTAACAACAAGTCTCATGTGAATACTTAGCCCTTGAACTATGGTTACCATAAGCAAGGAATTTCATTTTATTTAACTTTAATTCACTTAAGTTTAGATAGCCACATGTGGTTAGTGGTTATTACACTGGGCTGGACAAATCTAGAATGTAAGATCGATTCCTATAACGACAAATGACTTTCCTGAAAATACACATAAATTAGTCAAAGGATATAGACTGCCAGGTCACAGCAGGAGAAACCTGAATGACTAACAAATGAAGATGCTCATCCTTACTAATCATCAGAAGAATACATCCATCAGCTTTGCAAAAATTAGAAAATCAGAACTCACTGAACTTGGTGAAGGAGATGAGGAAAATGGAAACCCTGTGCACTAAGGTATGGCCATTCTGGAAAGCAAAGTGGTTGTTGTTAGTTTCCACAGAGTCAATGCTGACTCCTGGTGACCCAGGACTGCAGAGGAGAACTGCTCCACAGGGCTTTCTTGGCTGTAATCTATGGAAGCATATTGTCAGGCCTATCTTCTGTAGTCCCACTAGGTGGGCTCAAACAGTCAATCTTTACACTAGTAGTCGAGTACAAACCGTCTACACCACCTACTACTTAACGAAGGTAAATCTATGCATACTCCAGGCTGCATTTTGCCTGCAGTGCTATGTGTAGCAGCTAAGAATTGGGAACACCAAATGGTTCATTTCTAGGGAAGTGGGTAAGTCAGCTTCAGGGAATGTTCACTCTAGAGTATTACTGTTGTTGTGAAGTGCCATCAAGTCAGTTCCGACTCATAGTGACCTTGTACAGGGTTTCCGAGGAGTGGCTGGTGGGTTTGAACTGCTGACCTTGTGGTTAGAAGAACAGTGCTGATCCTACAGCGCTAAACCAGGATATTAGCAGTCAGAAATCTTGACACCACAGCAGGGAATAGAAAAACTGAAGGTGCCATTCAGATAAGTTTAAAATATGTAACAGGGCTTCCCAAAAAAATACATGAAAAGTGAAATAAAAAGTAATGGAATTTTTTTACAAACTTTTTGAAGCCCCCTCTTATATGCATGAAAATGCCACTATTTATTCTTCAATCCTATATATATAGGGAGACATATATGAAATGCCTTAGAACAGCTGCCAGTGAAAATAGAAGAGTAATGGAATCCGGCTATGGAAGAGAAGATGATGAATAAAACAAAATGCATTATTATGGTGAGTGAAGTAGGTCAGACACCAAAGGACAAATATTGCAGGATTCCACCTTTATGAAATATCTAGAATATGCAAACATATAGAGACTAAAGTTTATTAGTGATTATCAGGGGTAAGTGGGAGAGAGGGAGAAATGAGGACTCACTACTTAGCGGGCAGAGTTTCTGTTAAGACTGATGGAAAATTTGGCAATGGAGAGGGTGATGGCTGAACTTATAATGAACATAAATTAATGTCACTGAATTGTACATGTGAAGAATGTTCAAATGGCAAATGTTTTGTCACATCTCATAGATTTGCCACTTCTTAGAAAGGGGGAGAGGTGTCACCTTAAAATAAAGAGAACTCCATAAAGCAAAATATTTTTTTAATCATTTTTAAATGCAGTGACTTGAACTTGTGGATCAATGGTAAGGTTTCAAGAACAGAAGTATATACTCTTCCCTCTCACTCTTCCCTTCCAGCCCATAAGCTAACACTGTATGCTTGGTTTTCACATCTCCCAGGTACTCTTTCCCACACCCTCACCACCACCATCATATCAGCTTAAAACACTACAAACTGGCCTTCCTGCTTCTACTCTTGCTGTTCTACAGACCTTTCCAAAGAACATCATCATAATTCACTTCATTTCATTCCTCCAATCAAAACCTTCCACTGGCACCCCCTCAGTCTTGAACAAAACCCAGTCTTTACCACAAACCACAAGGCCCTACATAATCTGTTCCTGCCACGCTTTCTCATTTTACCAGTTCTCCCCACCTCACTTAGCTCCAGCCAAACTGGCTCCCTTCCTGTTCATCACAGCACTGTCACTAGGGAGCCTGCAGGGTGTGGATTCCCCACACTCCCTAGTGCCAACCTCTCTCACAAGTAGAACTGCCAGAGAGGATAACACCAAAATGACTGTCCAGACATAAAGTTTTTGTGAAGTGCTGCAGCAGAAACTTATAAACAAGCCCTGGTGGTACAGTGGGTTAAGAGCTGTACTGCTAACCAAAAGTTCAGCAGTTCAAACCCACCAGTTGCTCCTTAAGAGAAAGATGAAGTTATCTGTTTCCATAAGATTTACAGCCTCAGAAACCTGATGGAACAGTCCTACTCTGTCCACAACAATGGGTTTGTTTTGGGGGTTTAGTTACTTATAACAATAAAAGCATTTTTCATAAGCCCAGCTTGCATGTATCGATATACCTACAAAAGTAAAACTCTATGCTAATTTACTTTTGGGACCTTCTACTGTGCTCCTGTCAAAGCTGTTATAATTACCTAATCACAACGATCCTTCAAATCATATAGTTTCACCTGAACAAGCTATAAGCACGGACTATTGTTTTCATTTCTGTTGGTGTTTTCATAGCTACCGATTTTGTCAAATTTTCTGGTGTTTTAGCTACAATATTATGGTGATTAGTATTTGTGAACTTACATCAATAGCTTTATAAAGAGAAGCAGTAGTTAATGGAAAAGGAGGAGAAAATTCTAAACAGGCTTGCTTGTGGCCCAGCACACATAATGTCTGGCACAGCTAAGAACTCTACGTATTTGCTGAATGAGCCTGTTAACTCTATGTGCTGCACCTGAGGTCTAAAGAGAGCCCAATGTCAGAATGAAACAAAGCCAGGCCCTCTAATAATTCTTTTTTGTGATTGTAAGCCATCCCCAGAAGGTTTCCTAGGCTGTAATCTTTACGGAAGCATATCACCAGGTCTTTTTTTCTGAGGAGCAGCTAGTGGGTTCAAACAGCTGACCTTTCAGATAGCTGCACTTAGGGCTCTTAAAATCTTAGCTGATTTTAAATGGTTCTTCTATGTCCAGAGACTTCCGAGGCCAGGGTGCTCAGCCAGATCAAAACAACATTCAGCCACATTGTTTCCCTGCATGTGAAGGCCTCATTAGGTGCCAAATGTGTACCAATTAGAGAAAAAGAGGAGAGATTGGCTCTGAGTGAGGGGACTCCCACCTGCCATCCAGAGCAAGGGACTTGAGAGGTTTCCAGGGAAACCAATTCTGCTCTCTGGAGAGAGGGGAGAGGCAGGCAATGCACAGGAATCCCTCAAAGGAAATCTAATACTCCCACAACCTCCCTCACAAACACTTCTTCCCAAGGGTGCACACGTTTGAGGGTTGAGAGCACAGAGACAATTTGGCCTATGGATCATGGTCAGTTTGAATCATGCTCATCAGTTTGAGGTGGGATGTACACAAGACATCTGAGATGGCTGAGAACTGAGTACCATTCCAGGGAGGGGCTTGAGCAAAGAAAGGGACTTAGAGCTGCTAGAATGTGCTGGTGAGAGAAGGCAGAAAAAGCTGCCACCAGTGGCCAAGAATGTGAAAGCGGAGGGAAAGAAGGAAGGGTGTGCCTCCAGAAACAGTGTGGCCTACCCACTTAGGGGGGTGGGCTGCACTTACAGTCTCCTGCCCCACTTCAGAAGCAGACCTTGGCATGCAGGCAACAGGAAAGGAAGGGGTCTCTGGTACAGTTATGAAGGCCACTGCTAGACAAAAGTGTTCTCAGGTTGAGGTCTAGCCATCACTGCTTGGGGTCCAAGGTGGTGGCAATGAAGAGGGAAGGCAGGAATATTCTAAGACCCAGCTGTCTTTTGACAAGAACACTTGGTCCCCTTATGGTTCATATTAAGGAACCCTGATAACAATGTAGATCAGCACTGGACTGTGGTTCAAACCCACCAGCTGCTCTGAGGGAGAAAGATGAGACTGTCTGTTCCAATAAAATTTTACAATCTCAGAAATCTTATATAGGATCTCTATGAGTAAAAAATGATTTAATGACAGTGGATTTGATTTTTTTTTTTCATGGTGGGTGATGCATATCAGGCATTAACACATTAACACAGATGTGGACATACATACTGCCTTTGGAAGCTTCTAAAAGCTTGAACACACTGAGAAAGAAGGGCTGTCCTTAGCATCATCAAGGCCAGGTTCTCCCTCTTTAGAGCACTAGAGCCCTATCCCACTACACACAGAGGTTGCAGACCACCCCTCAATGTGCTCAACTAAAGCCCAGTCTCCCTAGGGATTGGGGTGGGGGTGGTGCAGTGTTGTACCTTTCCCAGCTTCTCGCACAGTTGGGCACACAGCTGAAACTCCTTGCCATAGCTCAGACACTTGAGAGATAGCTTTGGCTCATTGCACTCCAAATAAGTCTTAGCCAGTTCCAAATACGCCAACTGCTTTTCCCTGGGATAAGAGAAACAAAACAGAATCTCCATCACACATTGATCCAACACTAAAATATTTAACCTGCTGCTCTCATCTGAACAATGTGGAAATGCTCCCAGAGACTCTTACTTGGGGCTGACTTTCTTGGATTTCATGTTCAGGGCAGTGTTGTGGGCCAGAGCCAGCTTTTCCTTCTCAAGTGCACCTCCTTTCTGATAACACTTGGCAGCAACCTGGAATAGACAAATGGCTTTAATCCCCTCCAAGGGAATGGAGGTAACACAGAACAAGACTAAAAACTGTGCCTCATGTGTTGTACTGACACAGCCCCACCAGAGAGCCAGGAGCAGAAAGGTGCTGGTTTGCTAATAAAAGTAGGTAAGGCCCAACAAGAATAACCAGGTAACACTTCATACACAAAGGTGTCTTTTGGAGGTACTCAAAAGTCATGGGAAAAATACATAGTAGGGATTTTTTTATAGGTTGTCATCCACAGGCTAGCATAACACCCTCATTTACCCTTCCATCAGTCAAGTGCCAGAAGTAGCACCTTCTCACTATGTATACTAGTAACCTCAGGTCAGAGATGTGGAGTGATTGGCCCAAAGTCACCCAGTGGAACTTCTGGGTGTCAACACAGGTTTTTCTCCAGTTGGTAACTCCAACGGCTACCTCGAAGTATTGGTGGAAAGCTGTAGTACATGATAGAGTAAAGAGATGGCATCACACCACAACCAAAAAATAACTGACCAGATCCTTGGGACCTTCAGATCTGGGATAACCAAACCTTCTGAATATAAGGTGGGCTCACATGTTACAGGAAAGTCAGTCTGCACCCTGATTTCTGCCAACAGAAAACCGATTTATAAAACAGGAATGCTGACCTGTGTCTCAAGTATAGGCTATAGGGGCAGAAAGTTCATGTCCTGCTCAGCATGAGAAATTAGGTCCCAGAATGGACAAGGAAGCAGCAATCGCTGATAGAGTGAACAGGAAAGCATCTCCCTGCTTCACACTTGCTCCAGCCTCCCCAGCCCATGCTCCTTCCCACCACAAGGCCTGTGTACACACTCTGCCCTTTGATTTAAACACTCTACGGTCCCTTCTCTGCCTGGTTAACCTCATTCATCCTACAGGTCTCAGCTCTAGGTTCCCCTCTTCAAAGGAGCCTTCTCTGGCCTCCCTGTCCAGGACAGAGCTGTTCTAGTGACACCTGGTCTTTCATTTGTGACACCTACAAATAATTGGAACTATACCATGGTTTCTATGCCTGGTTTGCTCACCATCATGACCTTGAGACATAAACACAATGCTTGGCCCATAGCTAGAATGAATGAATTTCAAAGATGATTCTGAAACATTCACTGAAACATTAAAAAAAATCAATAAACCAGCCTAAAAGTCACTTTGTTGTTGTTAAGTTCTGTTCAGTTGGTTCTGACTCACAGCGACCCTGTTTGGGATTTCCAAGGAGCAACTAGTGACTTTGAACTACCACCCTTGCAGTTCAAACCAACCTCTAGTCCAAGTGCTTATCCTATAGCACCAAACCAGGACTCCTAAAGTCCTTTAGTGTAGTGGTGGTGGTGTGCTGTGAAGTCGGTTCTGACTCAGTGACCCTGCATAGGGTTTCCAAGGCTGTACATCTTTACAGGAGCAGAAAGTCTCATCTTTGTCCCACAGAACAGCTGGTAGTTTCAAACCACTGACCTTGCTGCTAGCAGCTCAATTAGTACCCATTATGCTACCAGAGCTCCTTAAAGTCCTTTAGTGTAGTGGAGAAAAAAATAAAATCAGGCAGGTAAAAGATTTTTTTTTTTTAAATAGCATTCTCATTTATGCCTATTCCTCTGAAAAGATTTTAGAGCCTAACATTCAAAAGATATTTAAAAACAGATAAAGAATTGGAAAGCCATAGGCCGAACTCATGGGCAACACCAACAGTGATCCAAAAAAGGTTAAGACTTTCCCTTGTTGTCCGATTTTATACCCGCACCTGCTGCCCATTCTATCTCACCCTTTCCTTCATATACCACCTCAGCAAAATTCTTAGCTTTAAACAATAGCCAAGTGTTTAGTATTTCTTTCCAATTACAGTAAGCATGGCCAGAGAATAAAGTTAGAAGGCTCACTCAACTTCTGTAGTTAAATGCTACATATTAATAATACTTTCTAGACACACCCAAACACACAACAGTGCAAATACTGTTTTCTCACCCCTCTTGACAAACTGTAAGGGTAGACACAGCTCTTCACTCCTCCCTCTATCCATGCCCCTTTACCATCAAGAATGGTAGTTCTTTCCTTTCCTTTCATTCTGGGGTGTGACTTGCTTTGGCCAACAGAATACAGCAGAAATAACACTGTGCCACTTCCAAGCTTAGGCCTCAAAGAGGTCTTGCATGTTTCTGTTCAGAGTCTTTGAATCCTGCCCAGATACCATATGAACAAGCCCCAGACTATCCTGTTGGGGGATGAGAATGAGTGGTTCAGTTACCTCCATCACCTGAGCCAACAGCCAGTCAACCCCCAAAAGTAGTGCTGCCTGACAGTTGAATGTAGACAGATGAGTTGACTAGCTGAGATCAGCTCTATTCAGGTTAACTTAGCTTTGCCAATTCACAGAACTATGAGCTACATAAATGGCTTGTTTAAGCCACTATGTTTTGGAAGTATTGTGTAGCAAACGGTAACTGATAAGCCCCATTTGTGAGTTATATGCTGTAGATTTGAAACTATTTCACCTGCCACCACAGAATAAAAAACTCTCCTAAAAAGTGTGATTAAGAAAACTCTGGGAAACCCTTGTGCCAGGCACATCAGACAGAAGACATCTCAGTTGGGGCTTCCATTAAGTTCTGACTTGGGATTTTAATGCTTTCATCACTCCCTAGGACTTTTGCTCATGTCCAACTCTATGCCCAATGAGACATACCATGAAATCAGTAAGACAAAGCCTTGAGAGAAAAAAATCAAAGACTTAACGTTTATTGACCAGGAATAAAATTAAGGAGAGCAAGGGGTGACAAGAGAAACTTGAAAAAACGATTCTGTAACTTCTGAGGAGCTAGAACCTCTCTAATTGAACACTAAGGAAATAAAGTGCTCAATCCAAAATTCAACATGCAGTTCCATGTGCATGGAAGGGTTAGTTTTTAAGGCAATGTGTATGTGGTCATGCCAAGCCATACATACCATTCCTGTGTCCTTTTCTCATCTGGTAGCAGAAGCTACATCCCATCAAAGGCTGAAAATGCCAGATGGGATTACTCTCCAAGACTCCCCTGCATCTAGAAGTGGTCTAGAACTAGTCAATGGGACATGAGGGAAAACCACTGGGGTCTTCATAAAGAAAAAAAAAAAGCACCTCGATAAAGAGAGTTCCTACCCTGCATTCCTGCTTGAGGCGCTACTGAGGAAGGATCTGATGTTTGGAGCTACTGCAGCCATTGGGCAAGCATGAGGGGGAACTGTGATGATGTAAGAAAGAGATGGAATAACATTGGGTCCTTGTTGACTTTGTTAGACTTCAGAACCAACCCTAAGATCAGACTTCTTGTTATTGGATTTAAAAACACCTTTTTATTAGCTTGCAAGTGAAGGCATCATTACCGCTGCAGCATAGGAGACACATATGACCCTGTGACACACAGAAATACTGACTGTGGGGCAAGTGATGGGGCTCTTCAAACAGTGCTCAAGCCCTATAAAATGGCTGTGGCTAGAAACCAGCCAGTTCAAACTGGTGCGCATCAGACTCAGATAGGTAGTTAAATTTATATCCATCAATTCAAAAAGAAAAGAGAGAACCAATCAGTTACTGTTTTAAAATTCGATATGCTAATGGCAGAAGCTTTTTCAGCATAGGGTTTAAGAGGGAAAGAAAATAAACAGAAGCATTCCTCACTAAGACAATATTATAGCCTCTTTTATTTACCTAGTGGCACATGCTGGCACTTGGTCAAAACAAAGGGTTATCATGACTGTGCTAGGGAAGGGCTGAGACAAGCAGCTCTTACCATTGTGGGATGACCTGACATTTCTGAAGCAGTGGTTTCATATAAGCACTGATACTCTCGCCTATCTTGGTGATAAATGTGATGAAGGCATACCTGTCTGACAGCTTGATTAGGCCAGTGGTCACAAAGACCTCACTCCGTAGCTATTGACCCAGCCCCTTACCTTCCAGCACTGGTGCTTGGCATAGTATTCCCCTTGTTCAATCCACTCCATGGGGGTTGAAGTCTTAGCAAACATGCTATCATCAAAGTCTGAAATGAAAAAGAAAAGTAGGTTTACTTCTCTGAGCATTCATTCACTTAAAACTGTCTTGTTTATGTTGTTGTTGGGTGCTATGGAATCAGTTCTGACTCACAGTGACCTTCAGTGCAACAGAACTGCCCTGTCTTGTGCCAACCTCACGATGGTTGTTAGGCTTGAGCCCACTGCTGCTGCCACTGTGTCAATCCATTTCATTGTGGGTCTTCCTTTTTTTCACTGACCCTCCATGTTACCAAGCATGATGTCACTCTCCAGGGACTGGTCCCTTCTAATAATATATTCCAAGTATGAAAGTTTTCGCTATCCTGGCTTCTAAAGAACATTCTGGCTATATTTCCAACACAGATATGGTAATTTCAATATTCTTCTCTAACACCACAGCTCAAATGCATCAAGTCTTCTATGATCTTCCTTATTCAGTGCCCAACGTTAGTATATATATGAGGTTACTGAAAATACCATGGCTTGGGTCAGGTACACCTTAGTCCTCTAACTGACATCTTTGTTCTAGAACACTTTAAAAAGGTTTTCTACAACAGGTATGCCTAATGCAATATGTCATTTGACTTCTTCACTGCTGCTTCCATGAATGTTGACGGTGGGTCCAAGTAAAATGAAGTATTTGACAACTTCAATCTTTTCTCCATTTATTGTGATTTTGTTAGTCCATTGGTGAGGGGTTTTTAATTTTTACATTGAGGTACAACCCATGCCAAAGACTGTGGTCTTTTATCTTCATCAGTGAGTACTTTTAAGTCTTCATTTTCAGCAAAGTTGAACCATCTGCATGTCACAGATTATTAATGAGTCTTTCTCCAATCCTGATGTCACATAATCCAGCTTCTCAGATTATGTGCTCAACATACACAGTGAATAAATATGGTGAAAGAATATAACCCTGGCACACACCTTTCCTGATTTTAAACCATTCAATGTCCCCCTGTTGTGTTTGAATGACTGGTTCTTGGTCTATGTACAGGCTCCTCATGAGCACACTTAAATGTTATGGAATGCTCATTCTCTACATTGTTGTTCCTAGCGTGTCATGATCTACAAAATCAAAAGCCTTTGCATAGTGAATAAAGCACAAGCAAACATCTTTCTGTTATTCTCTACTTTAAACAAAGGTCCATATGACATTAGCAATGATATTCCTCATCCTCGTGTGAATCTGGCATGAAGCTCTGGCAGTTCCCAGTCAATATGCTGTTGTAGCTTTTTAAAATTATCTTTAGCAAAATTTTATTGGCATGATATTTTCTGATGATTTTCATACTCCATTGGGTCACCTCTCTTTGGAATGGGCACATATATGGATCTCTTCCAATCAGTTAGCTAGGTAGTTTTCTTCCAAATTTCTTGGCATCGATGAGTGAGTACCTCCAGTGCTGCATCCGTTTGTTAAAAGATTTCAATTTGTATTCCATCAGCTCCCAAAGCCTTGTTCTTTGACAATGTCTTCAGCGCACCTTGGACTTCTTCCTTCACATTAACCATTCCTTTGTGGTACAGTAAATCTGTGTATTCATTTCACGTTCTTCTGATGCTTTCTGCATCATTCAATGTTTGGCCAACAGAATCATTCTGTATTGCAAATTGGAGCTTGAATTTTTTCTTCAGTTCTTTCAGCTTGACAAATGCTAAGCATGTTCTTCCCTTTTGGTTTTCTAACTCCAGGTCTTCACACATTTCATTATAATATGTGACTTTGTCTTCCCAAGCGGCCCTTTGAAATTTTCTGTTCAACTCATTTACCTCCTCATTTCTTCCATTTGCTTTAGCATCTCTATGCTGGAGAACAAGTTTCAGAGTCTCTTCTGACATTCACTTTTGTCTTTTCCTTCTTTCTTGTCTTCTTAATGACCTCTTGCTTTCTTCCTGTATGGTGCTCTTGATGTCATCCCCAAACTCTTCTGGTCTTTAGTCATTAGTGTCTAAATGCCTCAAATCTGTTCTTGAGATGATCTCTAAATTCAGTGGGGAATGTGTTCAGGGTCATATTTTGGCTCTCATGGAATTGTTTTAATTTTCTTCAGCTACAGCCTGAGCTTGCATTATGGGCAACTGAAGGTCTGTTACACAATCTGTCCCTGGCTTTGTTGATTTCTGTGTATTCCATCTGGTAAGACTCATGTGTATAGTTGTCTTTTGTGTTAAGAAAGGTATTTGCAAGAAATAAGTCATTGGCCTTGCAAAATTCTATCATGCGATCTCTAGCATCATTTCTATCACCAAGTCCGTATTTTCCAGCTACTGATACTTCCTCTTTGTTTCCAATCATTGCATTTCAATCACCAGTAATTACTAATGTATCTTGATTGTGTGATCAATTTCAGACTGAAGAAATTAGTATAATTCTTCAGTTTCATCATCACTAGCTTTAGTGGTTGGTGCATAAATGTAAATAAAAGTTATATTAACTGGTATACAAGGTGCCTGGTGGGCTAAAGTGGTTTGTACTTTACTAACTGAAAGGCTGGTTGTTTGATTCTACCCAAGCAGCACCATGGAAGAAACGCCTAGTGACTGATCTGCTTCTGTAACTATTACAGCCAAGAAAACACTAAGGAGTCAGTTCTACTCTATTACACATGGGCCACCAAGTGTCAGAATGAACTTGACAGCCACAGGTACGTATGGACCACATTTTGTTTATCCATTCATCTACTGATGAATATTCGGGTTGTTTCCACCATTGGGTCTTTATGAAAAGTACTGAAATGAACACTGGTGTACAGATTTCTGTTTCCCTCCTAACATTCAACTTCCTTGGTTTTATTCCCAGAACTGAAAATATTAGATCATACGGCGCTAAATGAAAAGAAAGATGAGGTGTTCTGCTACTGTGAAAAATTTCACAGCCTCGAAAACCCTACACAGTGTCCCTGTGAGTGAGAACCAACTCTGTGGTCCTTATCAACAGCATGGTAATCCTATTTGACTTTTTAAAGTACTTGTTTCATTTCTGAGCTCTGGTCTACTTTCATTTCTACAACTACAAGGCAGAAAACAGATAACATTTTATAATTCTTCCTTAAAAGTCCAAAGCCAAGGAGACAAGATGACAGAATTTGACAGCATTTTAAAATGTGCTGACTTTTGTGCTCATCACACTATGCAATTGGACCCATTTCTATTGATGGAGACAGACTACTGCAGCAACCTTCTGCCAGTCCCTTCTGCTATCCGCACTTACCTGCTGGTGACTTCCTCAGTCCTCCCCACCCACAGCCCCCAGAGCACCATCAGCAGTGAGTTACACTCCCTGAAGGTTCCATAATTCAGCTCCATGAAGCAAACAAGAGTCTATAAATAACAGGCCAAAGCTGACAGCCAAATCAGAGCTTAAAAGGAAGAGACAACCAGGCCAATGGACGCTAAATGGGGGAGTAAGGAGTTCTGGTGTGGTGCTGTAGGAACACCACTGGGCTGCTAGTCACAACGTTGGGGGGGGTTCAAACTCACCAGCTGCTCCTTGGACACTCTAGCCAGGGTCTTTATGAGTCAAAACCAACTAGATAGCACTTAACAACAGACTTGATATATTTAGAGGATGCAAAACCAGATCCTAATTCTTATAACCAAACCCTTCTGTGTTTGCTGTCAGTGACCTGCAGCAGATGTGCAGTGATAATATTGCAGTGTCTTGGGCTAGTTCAATATGCCTATTAGTGCCCTGGTGGCATCTTATTCCCACAGCAAAACCCCACTTTACTCCTGACTGGGGCCAGTGGACTCTGCAGGTGCCATATTGAAGAAATTGCCTAGTAACTACACTTAGTCCATGTCCCCATGCACAATGAAAACAGATACTCTCAAAGATTTAACAACGTATACCTTACAAGTCATAATTCAAACTGTAATTTTTCTTGTATTCTTAATGCTACCAGAACATAAAATAACTTGTAATTGTTTTCCATTTGGTGTTTTTAATTGAAGAAATTGCCTAACTTGATGATTCTTTATAACAAGGGTCAAAAAATACTTTAAGAATAAAAGGGATATGAGCTAGAGGTAAAATTAAGTAATATGACAATGCTAGGTCAACTCAGTCATTTTCTTTTTAGTTGAAGGTCCATGGAAGTAGTAGTCAAGAAATCAAAAGACATATTGCATTTGGCAGATCTGCAACAAAAGGCCTCTTTAAAGTGTTTCTAATCCTTGTTTTCAAAGGAGACTTTAGCTATTACCAAAAAGAGCCTCTATAAAATTGGTCAAGAGGAGGAACAAACAAGATGGCAGATCGGGTGGACATATAGCAGAGAGCTCTGCCAACAACAACACAGAATACCCGACCAAGCAGGCTCAGGGGATGGTCCCAGAACTCTGAAC